CCCCCCCCCCCCGATCGATCGATCGATCGATCGATTGCTTTAGCTGATATCCCACAGCGATCCATTTCTCCTACTCGGCTGTAGCAGCCGCTTTTGTTCTTCACTGTTTCAGGTGTATCTGTTTGCGGCTCTACTCTCCAAACTTCCTTCAAGACTTTTCCGGTTTCTGTAACTCACCAGGCTATCATTGGTGGAACAAACTAATCTTGGAAATGATGAGGGATAGGCTAGGAGCACCCAGACTGTGAAAGCACCCCTATAATCAAATAAAAACACTGATCTCTTTTCTAAATAACATTCAATGCCTACTGTTTATGTTGGGAAGTTAAAACATTATTAATAATCCTTTTTTTTTTATTTGCCAAGTCACTATAAACACATGCAACATCTGATAAATGGCAGTTTGTTTGTTCTTGAAGATAATACTCACTGAAAGTCACGCACCACGATAAAATTGAAACTATGCATATATACAAATAGGGAGAACATGCAGATGGTTATTTTACATGATACTTGGACATGAACTTGTAATCTATAAAATTCATCCTCAGAAATTGAGTAAGCAAGTTAAAAAACCAATGCAAAGATCCTCATGTTCTAAGGAGCTTAAAATGTTGTCCTTGGGTTATCATAGCTACCCTATGCTCCTACTCTAGGTATTTATCTGTCTGATAGAATTAATAAAATTAAGCACCAGGGGTGCATCAGGCGTGGCCTCTGCTTTTTCTTTTTAGAAACCAGCCATGAGGTTCTTTGCAGCAGATGGAAGAACAGGAGCAATCAGGCTGACTTGACTTTATTTGCATTTAACTGTTTTTTTTTTTTTTCTGTCTTGTGAAGGCATGTTTCTACTTTTCAGTGTTAAATGGTACTGGTGGGAAATATTCATACCCATCTGCCTTTCCCAAGACTTTCCTATCCACCATTAGCTGGACTTGGCAGAAGGCAGATAGATAGCTCTTTCCAGAAGCTGGGGTAGCCTCGCTTAGCAGAGCCTGCCCTGGAGCCCTTCTTAGGCCACCAGTATTATCTCATCTGTTTCACAGCAAAATATTCTTATTTGTAAATTCTTAGACCTTTGAAAAGAATAAAATGCCCCCTTCCTTTCTTAAAAAATGGAGAGGGAGGATGTTTTTTCTTCTTGTGACCCTAATGGGAATCTCGTTAAATGATGACATGATTTTGCTCCGTTTACATATTCATGTCATGAATTACATCAAGACAGACTTTAATAATACACTTGCCATTCTCTTCTCTTAATATACTGTATTTGGTTGAAGATGATGCACTTTTGATTTATTGTGTAGTTAATTTTTTAAACTTTGAACTACTACTGGTGCTTGCATGATTTTAAAAATCTTACATCATCTGTTGGTCTTAATTACTCATCGTCTAATGAGAATTTGGTTCAGTTATGAATTTGTTCATAAATAGAGTTGCTCCAATTCCCATGAATCACCTCATAGCCCACCAAGAACCCCTCTCCTTTCATATGTTAATTTAGAGAGCCATTGATGCTCATTTGCATCATCAATTCAACAATTTAGTAGGCTGAAAGAAGAAAAAGATTGGCTAGTTTCTACCTAATCGTGTGTGTGTGTGTGTGTGTGTGTGTGTGTGTGTGTGTGTGTGTGTGTGTTGGTGACAAGTTCCTCCTCCTTGGTTGACCTAAGCATCTTCTGTCATCCTTGATTCTTCTCTTTATACCCCATCTTCAGTCCAGTAGGAATTCCCATGTCTTTGTTAGATGACAGACCCTTTTCTACCTGCCTCTCAGCCACACCCCTCTGCACTGACAGGCCTCTGCTGTGAAGGTTAGTGCATCTGGATGGGATAGGAACACAAACCCAGCCTCCCTGAGTCCCTGCACATATAAGATAAAGGTATGCTTTTACCCTGTACCCGACTTCTTGACACAAAGGCTGTGACAGATCAAATCACACGATGGAGATCTTATCACCTATCACCGTCTTCTGAAAACCCTTAAAAGTGGGAAAGTTTCAGGGATTTCACTGAAGATTTCCTCTCTTCTTCAGGTTTTCTGTCATGTTGTACACGGCAGCCCTCTCTTTATGCTGTCGGTTTTACTGAGGCTCCTCTCAAGGTGTTTACAGGAATATCCTTCTGGTTCTCTACCTACTACGATGTAGGCATAACCACACTGGGATGTCTTGTTTGTTTGATTGGTTGGTTGGTTTGATTTTTACATAAGACTCAGGTTCTCATGAGAAGAGCTTTTACCCTGTTGCACATCTACTTAGCTCCTTTTCGTACTAATTTTTCTAGCTGCCATTGGCTGAACTTGAACTTGGTTTGTGTTTAAAACTATCTATTGTGTAGCCTTTTTCTCCTTTCTCCGAGGTTTGGGTTGGGAGCAGCTCAGTCTTTAACTAGATGTCTAGTCTTCCCTTACCTTCCACCTGCACTGAATCTAAACAGTAGCTCACTTCATCTCTCGACTTCTGTGTGTCGAGTGGAACATTTTTCTAAATCATTGGGGTGGATTTTGCTTTGGTTTTATATCCTTTGAAATATTGTAGCAGGCTCTAGACAATGTCATCAAATGGCTATTTTTGATAAAAATCTTGATTTATTTATGTATACTTTGAATAGGTAAAACAGGTAGTGTGCCAAAATCTTAAATTCATATGATTTCTAAAGACATGAAAAGGTAGTGCATTAGTAATAGTTTAATGAACCTCCATGTATGACTCATAATATATCAATATTCTGTATCATTTTGGGAACCTTTGGGTATCTATCTGGCCAAAAGATCACTAGGTAGGTATCCCTCACAGGACCATGGCAATCTGGTATATATTCTTTCCTTTTTTCCACTTCCTTCCAGATCTCCCTCACCTCTCTACACAACCAACTTCATGTTCTATCTCTTCATCTCCTCCTCTCAAAAAAAGCCAAAGATCCAAAAAAGATAAACTAAAAATAACAAGCATTAAGACAAAACAAACAAACAAACAAAAAACCCAAAACAACAAAACAAAAAGCATACAATGAAACATGGAGTCCATTTTGTGTTGGCCAACTGTTCCTGGGCTCGAGGCCTGCCTTGAAGTGTGGTTGATAGACCAGTGACACTTCATGAGAGAAAACTGACTTCCCCTTTGCCAGTGGCTATCAACTGCAGATAATTTCTGGGTTGGGGTGGGAGTCCATGTCTACTTCTCCCTCTCAGTGCTGGACACTGTCTGGCTTGAACCTGTGCAGGCCTTGTGTATGCTACCACAGTCTCTGTGAGTTCATATGTGCATTGCCAGTCCTGTTGTGTCTGGAAGACACTGTTTCCTTGAAGTCATCCGTCACCAATGGCTCTTACAATATTTCTGCCTCCTCTTTTCCACGGATCCCTGAGCCTTGAAGGGAAGGCTTTGATGGAGACATCCCATTTAGAACTGAGTGCTCCACAGCCTCTCACTCTGCACACTGTCCAGTCGTGGGTCTCCATGTTAGTTCCCATCTACTGCAAGAGGAAGCTTCTCTGATGGGGGTTGAGTGAGGCACTGATTTCTGAGGTTTCCATTTCATAACCTCAGCTTTTCATTTCCACAGAATCATTTTTGATACTACCACTTTAACACTGCCCTTTTATTCAGTGAACGTGTCTTAGATTAGTGGTAAAATTACTGTTTCATCATTCCTTCTGTAATTAATTATTGAAAGAAACTTTATGGTAATTTGTAGTTTGAATGGATTCATTAATATTCCCTGATGAATCTTTAAGTAATGGTTAAGAAGAATGAACTATATTTGGTGTTACTGCAATTTTTTTTTTTTTTTTTTTTGAAACAGGATCCTCTATATTCCAAACTGGCCTTGAATCTATGACAATCTTCCTGTCTCAGCTTCCTGAGTGCAGGATTACAGGTGCCCACCATGAGCCTGGCTAAGAAGAATGCTCTCATATTCATGCTGTTATAAAGTTTGAAAAGTCTGGATTAAAAATTAAGAATGACTTCTGAAGCAGAGATTACAACTCTGAATATTTAAAAATATATCTGAGAGTTCAGTGTGGTAGCTCATGCCTATAATTCCAGCAATTGCAAGGCTGGAGGAGGCAGGAGGATTGCTGCGAGTCTGGGACCAGCTTATGCTGCACAGTGAGTTCCAGGCTGACCTGGGCTGTGAAGTGAGACTGTCTGAAAACACAGATAAACTTGAAAACTGTGTAGACATTCTTATGAGATTGGTGTCTCAAGGCACAGGTGTTACTTTGAAATCTTAAGACTGTCCACACTGGAATTTACAGGATTGCTAATTTTCTTCTCCTGTAGGTTATTAAGTGTGGTGTGCTGTGATCTGGATGCTCTTCTCTTACTGGAGGCTCAGTATCAAGTATCCAACATGTTACTACATGCTCAGGAAGAAAATACCTTTGAGATCTCCGAGAACCACAGGTTCGTAAACAAAGCTAAACAAAAGGCGGCATTAGAATGATGCTATCAGCAGTTTTCCTTACAAATGATTTGAAACTAATTTTCTGTATAATTTTTATACTGCCTGAATTACTACATTAAAACGCCAGAGTAAAAAGCCATTAAGCATGAATGTCACAGGAAGATAATGATCTACGTTTTTGGAGAGTGCTACATTTATCATTTGTTCCTTTTGTCTTAGTATTTTTCCCTTTAGTTTTCAGGAAGTCCTGGCACCTTTCAATTCACATCACTTTGTACAGTGACCCTCTGAGGAAAAATGCTTGCTGTTGCATCTCTCTTGGAGCCATTCAGTCCCCAGTTTCCTAATATGTCAGCTTATAGTCATGCGTGTTGATTATTTGCCAAGTGAGGTTTTGATCATTTTTATTTTCCTACTAATAAATCACACTTGCCATTGCCTCAGTTTGGCTGACATTTATAGAATACACATTCAACAGCTGTTATCATGCTCATGTCTGTAATTCAGAACATAGTAGTGCACTTCCTTCCTACCCAGGCCATGGACAGTTATATCATTTGATGTTGAGGTTTGATATCGAAGGAAAAAATTACTAGTATCCAAATCTGTTCATCAGCAACGTGTACATTGCAGATTTGGGGCACTGACTCTAGAACACAGGAGAAACTCGTGTCTCATGTCTCCTTGGTTGTGAGCCTAGTCTTCAATGGCTGAGCCATCTTTCCAGCTCAGGAGGAGCATTCCCCCCCCCCCCCCGCCTTGTTCACTCTGTCTGGAACAGGCTGGCCTCAAACTCCCAGAGATCCACCTGCCCCTGCCTCCCGAGTGCTGTGATTAAAGGTGTGTGCCACCACCCCCCAGCAAGGAGGAACTTTCCTAAAGATGGTTGTTACTTCAGAAATAAAACATGTCCTAATCGTGTTTCTGTAGGTACAGGATCATTCATCAAGGAAATACTCTTTCTCTTAGTATTTTTTTGATAGCAAAGAAGTGATGATACAAAAAATCTGAATGTAGCCTTCTGTACTGTAAATATTCTGATAACTAATGTGTTTTGCAGATACCTTTTGTTTCTGTTTGTTTTGTTGTCTTTTTTTTTTTCTCTTTGCAATCTAGTGACATGATTTAAAAATCAAACCATATTCAGTTAAGGAGACAGCACAATTGATGTATATTCTCTTTCAGGGACTTTATAATTGATGGCTTATCAGTAGAGAGAAATCATGTTCTTGTAAGGATTAATCTCATTGGTGGGCCCTTGGAGCGGATTTTGCCTCCAAGGATGCTTGAGAAGGTGAGTGCCATATTTTGACATGTTTTAAAATGAAGTACCCAACTGAAGTGGCACTGAACAACATTTTCCAAGTTTCTCTACACCAGGGTTCAATTTTTGTTGCTTGACAAACTTGCAAAACAGGTAAACACATTCAAAACAAAATAGTAGTGATGTCGCCAAGAGCTCACGAGTTTCTGGTGAGTGTCTGAGAGCAGTAGATTGTTGTTTTATTACATTCTTGTCATTCTTCCGAGTGTCCTTGAGTATGTGAATTCTGAAGTCTTTCTCTTTCATGTCCCTTAACTGTTATATTTATTTATGCAGTAGGGAGTGTGTATGGTCTCAATGGAGGGTGGTTGTTAAGAAGTTCCCTTCTGTGACTACCACCCTGGAAAAGAGCTAGAAATGATTGACAGAAGAAAAATAGTTTTGGGGTGGAGGGGATACAAGGCCTTTTAAAGATTGTATTTTCACTTTCATGAAAAAAAAACCATCATTATCAGTTCAAATCACAAGAATAAGTTGTCATAGTCCAACTTGTGAAATTTCAATGACATTTTGCTTATTGTCGTTTAGGGATAGTGGATTATAATAGCAAATAACTTGATAGTTGGACAGAAAGTTTGGGAATAAAAAAGTCAATTGAAATGAATGATACTTGAGAAAGTATGAAAGTTCAGGATCTTAACCCACCTCCTACACTTACGGTGCTGTTGTGTTCTTAGGGGGATGACCCGTATCCTTGGCCGATGTTCTCCTCATATCCATTGCCACAGTGCTATCTGCCAGAAGTCCCACGAAGTCCTGATGTAAAACAAGGTAAATCTTTTCACCCAACCGGTATTCCAGTGCTCTTTGTATAGTTCGAGAAAGAGACCGTGAAGAAGGTGAGTGTTGATCTCCGTTCGGCATGGGTGCAGGAATACATGGCTGCTCAGTCCCTCTTAGTTTTCCATCTCACTCCCGTTGTCTGTTTGATTGGTGTCGGTATGATGGCGAACAAGTACTGCCTGCAGCAAAGGTAAAGCAAGTCTGTTCAGTGGCAAGAGATGTTTGCTTTAAAGCCTGGATTAGTAGGAACCGCACTGACAGCTCAGAAATTCACAGCATCTGTTGCTCTTGCAGAGGACCCGGGTTCAGTTTCCAGCAGCCACAGGATGGTTCACAACCACCAGTAACTCCAGTTCTGTGGTCTCTGGCTCCCACTGCTGGTTTCAGGGCATTGGACACACACATGGTACATGAAGGCAAAACATCATACACATAAAATAAACACATCTTTAATTTTTTTTTTTTTTTTTTAGAAAACTGAATCAGTAGTTCCTGGTTAGTTAAATTCTGCCTATGAAGAAGTTTTCTTTATTCACTAGAGTATTTTTTAAATGACTGCTGTGTTTACATAAGCCCTGAGTTGAATTATACTGGGAAGTATATTTTATCCCCCTTTGGAGGAATCATGAATAGATGGTTGTTTAACTGTTCAGCGTAACATGAGTGAAGCAGACAAACGAGCTTGCTGGGATAGTGTATAATCAAACTACCTTGCCAAACAAAATCTTGTGTCAAAAGGGGAATGTAGCTTTAGTATTCATCTTCTGAGTAATAGAACAACATTTTTAGAAGAGGAGCCATCAGGACAACTGAAAGAAACACATTATAACTCAGGGAACTGTGAGTGTGACCTGTGTGAGGCTCTTGAAGGTGGAAGTATCAGTGAGATGAGAAGGTGAGGCTCATACAAAGGATCTAAGTTTGATAAAGGATCGCATCACATACTACCAGGGCTTATGCTCAGAGTTCCTAGGCCAAGGAATTCCTGCACGGATGATGAGAGTCCACGATCAAACTTTTCACAAAGTTTAGAAGTCAATTCTTACATCAACAGCCTGTCCTTTATAATGCCATCAAACTAACACTGGAAAGAAATCATGTGGAAGAGATTGATTTCACATTCACTTAATGCACTTTAAAATTTGGGCTTTGGGTTTCACTCTTGCATGACAAAATGTATTACTTTTTCAGAGACTTGGGAGTGGTATTACACATTTTTCAGGAAGAGGCTTTTTCGATGATGCCCTTTGGATGTTTTCACGCTCACTTCCATCATTCACTGAACCCAGGGCATTTTCAAGCGTTTGTTCCATCTGCTTATTCTTCTCTGAGTCTTTCTGGCAGACTGTTTATACTGTGTCTTTCATTCTTTCATCTTCTAGGTTTCAACATTTGTTACCCTACATGCTTGTTTCCTTAATATATGTTTCATGAGTACTGAGTACAAGGATCTTCCCTGGGAATTATAAATAACACATCAATTATGAATAATGTATCAATATCTGTTGTTTTTTCCCCAGTACCTCAACCCTTTTCTTGGTCAGTTTTCTTTGACATAATATAACACTGTTTCCTTTGCTAAGTTTCATTGGGGGAAAAACTTTTATTATGTTTCTGCATAACAGATTCATAGTCAGTTTTATTAGCTGACTTCTACCTTTATTAATTTATTTCCTCAAAAAATATTTTGGGAATTTGAACAAGGGAAATAAAAATTTAAAAAATGAGGTATAAATGGCTATTTCCCAAGGATAAAAATATCCATCAATGCCTGGTCCTTATGGAAGTATTTTTTTTTTTTTTTTTTT